TTACGACAGAGACATTATGTTTATATAACAAGTGAACACTGTTCACGTCCCAAAATGTCTGCCTCTGTGTCGCCCCACTAAAATTGTGGCCTGTTCGCTGGCAGCTATGGATGCGTGCGCCGGCCTAAGCATTCGCGCACGGATCCATAGCTGCCAGCGCTGCATACTGTCGTAGGACGTTCCGCGCGGGCGCGAGGAGCGGGGTTGGGAGCTCGCGTGCGCCTATGCGCGCGAACTGCGCGCCCAAGATCTGTGCTCAGCACTTCGGGTCAACAGTGCAACACCTCTTTCGGCAACGCTTCTCTAGTATCCCGTCTCCATCTGGATACAATAAAGCAGCCAAAAAAGAGTAGAGGTACTCTTGTCTCTTGACTCGAGTCGTGTTGGGTTACATTATTTATTTATTGACATATTCATGATATGACATTGGCATTCTTCATTTTACCACCCACCTCCACCTGGCACCTCACCTGAAATACGGACAAGCTGCTGCCAATACGCTTCTTTGTATAGGAACTCGACCATCTCTAAAGATCATTATCCCATCACATGAACTTGGATCTTTTCTACTTTCATTAAGGGCCCTTAATAATTTACAAGCATGTGTACTATAGCTGACTGAATTCTTATTAACAGATAAAGTTTCGTTTAACACGTCTCCATTGCCCGCCATGGCAAACTTCCGGCAAAACTTCCGGGCTGACACAACAAGTCGGCTAACGTTAATGATTACCGCTCCTGCTCGTAACGGCCGCTAGGGCCTACTCACCAGGGGGTAGATTCATCAAGCTGCGTACGCAAAATATTTTGCGTAAATCTTGTGTACGCCCAATCGACGTTGCTTAGTTGCGATTCATAACACAGCTATTTAGTAAATTTGCGTACGATTTCGCGTGTAGCGCGAAGCGAGGCCGTTTTAGGTGGCGATTCAATCAAGGCTAAAATTTACTAAACCTTTGCGTAACTTTTACACGAGCTGACGGAGGTAACCGTAAACCACTCGAAATTCCGCAAGGTGTTGTTCCAAAGCAATACGCAAGCATACATTATTTTATGAGGAAAACATTATAAAATTACTACTCAACTAAAAATTGAATTAAATAATTACCATACTACACAGACAGGCGGCGCCTTTGCCGCTTTCTTTTTTGTCATAGCTTGGCATTGTTTTCGTTATAAAGCGAGTCTAGTTTAGCCGTGTACGTGCACACCAGCGCCACGTGTTACGTGCACACGCAGGCGCCGCGTGTACACGACGCGCGTGTAACCGCACTGCCACGCACGTTTACGTGTACACGCGACGCAACGTGTACGTGGCACACGCACGCACACGTGCCAAGCACGCATGCACGTGTACGTGCACACGCAACCACGCGCCGTGTAGCGGTACACACGCACGCAACGCAACGCACGCACGCACGGTACGTGTACGTGCACACCACGCAGGCACGTGCACTGGCCGCAGCGTACGCAGTATCTGTATCATTGTTAAAACGAAAATTCTCAAATATGCCTAGAGCATGAGACGCATCTTTGACGTATGTTGTTAGCGATTGTACCATAGGTGACAGCAAGTCTTCTAAGAAAGCCGAGATCTGTTCAGTAGGGAAACTGCAGTTAGAAACTATAGGACATCCTGGTGTATTAGGCTTATGTATTTTTGGAAGAATGTAAAATCTGGCCGCTTTAGGTGTTTCAATAAGGAGGTTGGAAGCTTCTTTTGGAAGATCGTTATTACTAATCAATGATGTAATTAGGTTTATGACAAGAATATGAATTTCAGGAGTTACATCACCGGAAAGTTTGGAATAAATTTTGTTATCCGAAAGTTGTTTATCACCTTCCCGAATGTAGAGATCTCGACTCCATTCAACAACGGCTCCCTCTTTATCAGCGGGTTTAATTACGATGTCTTGACAATTCCGAAGGGATCGGATCGCTGCTAGTTCCGTGGTGGTAGGGTAAGACGATCGAACTTTTCGTGGATATGAGAAGTAGTTGGAAACTTCTTGACGACTCTTCGAGATGTAATAATCTAGAGCTGCGAAGCGACCTGTTTGCGGGGTCCAAGTAGAAGGGGTCTTGTACTTGCGGAAAGTATTGTCACATTTCTGGTCAACAAGTTCATCATCAGCAGTGTTCGTCTTCATAAAATGAGCTCTAAGGCGAAGGCGGCGGAAGAAACTCTCCACATCTCGCATGGTATTGTACTGATCTATTTGAGGTTTGATTGGAACCAAAATCAACCCTTTACTTAAGACGACACGCTCAGATTCCTCCAGTGGGAGTTCAGGTGGAACACACACGACGAGCTTTTTGTTGTAATAATTTGGTTTCTGAGTCTCTTGTCTAGACGATAAAAGTTTATCGAGTTTGGCATGTTTCTTCTTGTTCAAATGATCATACCAATCACTATTAGCAAAGTGGATTTTTCGGCGAATTTGATGGAAAGTTCTTTTTAGAGATTGCAGTGAAGAAAATATTTCGGCGTCACAGTTTTTAATTTTACGTTCATTCTCTCGTAGACATTGTCGGATCAATTGACGAGATGCATTAGACAGAATACGGCTTTGGGATGAAGATGCACGATTCGACGAGTGAAAACGAATCGAGAAACCAGTCGGAGTGATTCGATGGTGGAGACACTTTCACAGAAAAAACACATGGCTGCAGAATCTTGTCTTATTCATAATCATATCCAGTAAACGCATTGTAATATTTAAAAAAACGATTCCATGTGAATTCACAAAATGGTAAACGTCCGATCCACAATTAAATGGTAACTTGCAGCGATTCGATCCTTTCGGAATCGTCAGGACATCGTAATTAAACCCGCTGATAAAGGGGGAGCCGTTGTTGTATGGAGCCGAGATCTCTACATTCGGGAAGGTGATAAACAACTTTCGGATAAAAAATTTGATTCCAAACTTGCCGGTGATGTAACACCTGAAATTTAAATTCTTGTCAAAAACCTAATTACATCATTGATTAGTAATAACGATCTTCCAAAAGAGGCTTCCAACCTCCTTAATGAAACACCTAATGCGGCCAGATTTTACATGCTTCCAAAAATACATAAGCCTGATACACCAGGACGACCTGGACCAGACCTGACCTGTCCAGACCTGACCTGGACCAGGATGACCTGGACGTCCTATAGTTTCTAACAGCAGTTTCCCTACTGAACAGATCTCGGCTTTCTTAAAAGACTTGCTGTCACCTATGGTACAATCGCTAACAACATACGTCAAAGATACGTCTCATGCTCTAGGTATATTTGAGAATTTTCGTTTTAACAATGATACAGATAAATTCATATTCACACTGGACATAAAATCTCTATACACTGTGATACTTAATAATCAAGGTTTAATCGCTTTACGGTATTTTTTAGACAAGCGGTCTGATAATTTTCCGAATACTGATACCTTGATACGTTTAGCCGAACTAGTTTTAACCAAAACGTGTTTTACTTTCAATGGGAATTTTGATTCTCAATGTAATGGCGTCGCTATGGGTACGAAGATGGGTCCTAGCTATGCGTGTCTATTTGTCGGCTACATTGAATAAAAAATGTTCGCGTCCTTCACTGGACCCAACCCGAGCCTTTATCTTCGGTATATTGATAATGTTTTTGGAGCCGCATCTATGAAACTTTCTGATTTGCACAATTATATCGACCATGT